GGGGCATCCGCGATGGGACCTCGAAACTCCTGCAGCTGCGGGAAGTCGGAGCGGAATCAAACTGGGTTGGGACGAATAAAAACTGACTGAAGTTCTAACAACGAGCAGCACAGGCAACGCAGAGAGCCTTAAAGAGCAATTCTGGAGGCAGGAGTTTGAACTGTGGAATAATCCCGATTATAGAAATGAAAAGGTAATATTTGCACCCCACACTTCGCCTTGTGAGCAGAATGAAAAGAAATTTTTTTATGGATTTTAACCACAAGGTCATAGTTACACTGTAACCCTGCAGATACATTTTAACAGATGGGTTGCTTTCTTCCTTAAATCTGATACATTTCCTAGAATGATAGTTGAAGATGAAATGCCAATTCAAATATTCAAAATAATGCATTCTATTTTACAGTCTCCTTAGCCCATCACTTATGAATTTTGCCTGCAAATGTAGACTATATAGTTCTGGATACAATGGCATCATCCAAAAATACTTCAACTCAGCGCACAAACAAACACTGAATAAAGTTACAAACAAGATTAAGGTTTAAGTTATTTGCCCCTGTAGCAAGGCGCCAATTGTTCTAACAGATGTAGGGATGCTAAGAGGATTTAAACCACGCGAATTTAATAAACCAGATTAACAATAGGTGCTTTCCACAAATGCGAGGAACCCGTAAAGTAAATCTACCCCAAATTACCTATTAGACCAGAGCATTGCCTACAAGGAGTGCAGAGAATTTCCGAAGGGGGCAAAGAGGATCTCGTGTAAGCATAGTTTGTTTTCCCCCAGAAAGCTTTCTATTTGCATTAAATCTTGCACTACACACACACACACACACAAAGCAGTGGTTTAAGACAGACGATGGAATATATTCTTGAAAGCTGAAATATTACCTGTTGTGCCATCCGCTTTCGCAAGGCTGAGGAAAAAGAGAGAGAGAGCGCGAGCGAGCGAGCGAGCGAGGCACGTCTCAAAGCCGGCAAAGGACTAAGATGCCACACTTCGGAAAGGCTGATTGAAAACAGACTCTTAAGTTTTAGAGGATTTTCTCTCTCACTCTCTCCAAGGGCTAAGAAGCCGATTTGGGAGTTTGAAGGGAATAGGTTTCAGCGTCCATATTTGTTCTGGTGCACTTGTAAAATGCGATTTGAAGAGGATCTTTAGCCCTCTGATTGTCTTTGTATTGTTTTTCTTGAAACGGATCTTTTGCCCTTAATGAATCCCCACACAGCTGGACAGCTCCTTCTCGGACACTGAGAGCGCTAACCCCAAACTGACCCCAATTTGACACCACAAGATGAAATTTTACCGCCTGTTAAAACCATTTCCAGCCTCGGCAAAAGGAGCTGGCTGTTGACTGAGATACACTTCCATACCGGACACCTCGTTTCTCTTTGGACTTTTGGGCCGATCTTAAAAAATAGAAAGAAAAAAAAAAGAAAGAAAGAAAGAAAAGGGAAAAAAACCGACTCGGCTCTCTCGCACTTTTCTGAAGAACATCCTCTGCTGTGGAAGTGATGCACGAGAAATCGAAATCAGCCAATTTAATTTCCCCGAATTACTGGGTTTAAAAGAAATATCTAATCACACACACAAAAAAATAATTTTTAAAAAAGGACTTGGAAACCTCCACTCCCCACGTACCCCATTTCCCTCTGAGTTCCCAACAGTATCTTTGTAATAGCTGAGTACTTTCACTTAAGGGCGCTAAATTGAGATTCCCCTTTAATGGCTAAACTGTAGTGCTTTATAAACCACGTCCTCTGTGTGTTTTAATCCACTGCGATAGTGAAGAGGAAAAGGCTTCAGCTCTTTTCACGGAAAAAAGACACTACAGGAACATGAAAAGCCCCTCACTTGCCATATGAAATTTCACTTTCTATCAAGTTAAAATCATTTTTAAAAGTTGGTACCCGTCCCAGATTACACACACGCACAGTAGGGCTAGCTAACACAGGGGATTAATTAGTTAAAAAAAAAAAAGGAGCAGCATTGAACACTTAAAATCTTAGGCTATTTTTTGCAGCCTTAGTTTTAGGCTTCTTTCTAACAATTCTTTAGTCTAGACACCCGAAATCTACAGGCACTCCCGTAAAAAATACAGTTATGAAAAAAAAAAAGTCTAAAACTATGTCCTAAACAATGGAGCGCCTTCTTCTATGGGAGCCAAGTCGTTTAAAAACTTCATTTTGTGAAGAAAACTGATGAACTTCTCCCACATCACTCCTTGCCTGAGATCTGAACAAATACATGGAGCCTTCAGTGTAACTAGATTACTTTTGCATGGCCACATTAGAAGGAAAGATCTCTTCTTCAGTGATACCGAAGCTATTTGAACGAGACGCACTTGTATATCTCAAGAGGCATGGCTCTGCGTTTGCACTGCCTCGGTTAAAAAACAAGTTTAGAAGCTACAAATATTTAAAATATGTCCTCGAACCCGGCTGTATGGACTGTATCACAACCAAGTGATTCCAAGGAAGTTTAGGATTTTGGAATCATTGGCGGGGGGGGGGGGAATAAGGAAAAACAAATAGCATTCATCGATGACTAGATCTCTTAAAAAATCTGCTAGAAAAGTACAGCTGTAAAAGTAGGGAAGGATTTGCATAACCTACTGCTCTGTAGGTCTCCGTGCACCCAAAGGATTAGCCAAGCATTCATTACCATGAATATCTTGAATTACGCTACCGATTTATACGACAGAGTATAAAATACTGCACAAGAAGACTGGCTTTTTCCTTGCGAAATGAATCGACTTAACCACTGCTTGAAAGAGATCTACATACTAAGGGCTTTTTTTACTCACCTTTCTTTACAGTCCCGTGAAAGTCAGTCACAGCAATTCGGTTGCTCTTAGGACTAGCTTTAATCTTGGAGGAGATCCTCTAGGAAAAAAAAAACGGGTCTGCTCTCCGGCTTCTGGCGGTTTTTAAGCAGGGTGTAACTCTGGCTAAAAGTAGGAGAGTGACTTTTCTCCGTATTGCCCACATATTTGTAAATACAGCCTGCTCTGCAGGGCTCGGCGCTATCAGTAATGCCCACTGGCGTTTGTCAGCCCTCCACACTATCTTTCTTTATATGTGAGGGCTGATTTCCCGCAGACATCATTGTTATGATGGCTCATTTAATCAAACTGTTTAATTGCTCCGGTAATCACTATCATCATCACAGGTACTCAATCATTCATCATTTTGGAGGGGTTTATTGACCTCTGGAGCTCATTCCCTACGCCTATTAAAATCAGGCCAAATTTCTATAACTACACTTTGAGTCATTTTCTTAAAGTTCCCCCCACACCCCCCCCGCCAAAAAAAAAAAACCCTAAAATCATCACCATTATTATGAAAACAGAACAAAACAAAACAAACCCTAACTGAATCAAAGATTTTTCTGCCGTGTACGTTTAAAAGCCATCTATGTATGAGGCCACATTCACAACTGGGTACATAATCATTGATAAATCCCACTATTAACGGGATAGTCTGTTTTAGATTTTATGTGCAGGGGACCGTGAACGAGGGTGGGGGGTTGGGGAGGACAAAACTGCAGCAATCGATGGTTTGACCATTGCTCCTCCCCTAAACTTCAAGCATCCCCCATGATTGATGATCCCTGGTAGCTTTGGTAATTGACTGTTCTGAGGTAAGGCATGCTTTAGCTCCAGCAAAGTGATTGGGCGAGAGAAACACACCAAAATTAACGTGCGTGTGTGTGTACGTGTGTGTGTGTGTGTGTCTGTATGTGTGTTTGGAAAAGTTCATTTGGTGCTCAAGGGTGGGGGTGCATCATCTCACTTAATTTGCTAAATAACCCTACTGTAATTAGCACTACCGTTAGAAGGCATTACCGAGCTAATACTTCAGCATACATTCCTCAAGCGCGACGTAGATATACAGCAAACTCAGAAGCACACGCACGTAAACACTTCGCACACCGACGGATCCGCTCAAAACGAACATGCAAACACAAATCTACATAACATCTGGATCTACCCTACAAAAGGCTGAGCATGACTTTGTTTTTAAGCCCTTTTCAAAGACCGGCAGCCTCATCACAAAACTAAAAGGGATTTCCCCCCCTTTCCCCCGCC